TCGTGAACGGAAAATTAATTGTTCTTCACCACCACTGAGCGACGCCCTTCAACTTCTCTCGGGGCTATTTCGTAAAGGGCTTAGCTACTCAACCCTTAATACTGCTCGCTCTACCTTATCTACCATTGTTACGATAGACGGGGGGGAAGCCTTGGTAGCAACCATATTGTTACACGGTTTATGAAAGGGGTATTTGAATCGCGTAGACTCAAACCTAAATATAACAAAATTTGGGATGTTTCAGCGGTTTTAAAACATTTATCTTCTTTATACCCCAATGAAAAATTGTCTTCAAAGGATTTAACGCACAAGGTCCTTATGCTAATTCTATTAGTTTCGAGTCAACGAGGGCAATCGATACACTACCTAGATCTACAGCATCTTACCATAGAGGAGGATAATTATTCCTTTGACGTCGCTGAGCATATCAATACCAGTACCCCCAGAAACCCACATACGAGGATTGACATTGCTGCCTCTGAGCCAGACAGTACAATTTGCCCTTCGACTTGTTTGAAAGCATACCTCAACAAGACCAAGGCTTTGCGTAATAACGAAACAAAATTGTTTATTAGTTATGTTAGGCCCCCATAAAACTGTATCTGGGGACACGGTTTCTAGGTGGACTAAGGAAACTCTTAGACTTTGCGGTATTGATACTAAGGTGTTCACGGCACATAGCACTACGTCAGCATCTGTTTCCAAAGCTAATGAAAAGGATTTCCCTGTCCATGAGATCATGGCAAAGGCATGCTGGAAGTCTGCAGAGACCTTCCGTAAAATATTACAACAAACCGGTTATTCAAGGAAACAGACTTGCTTCCGCTATCCTTGACCAGTGAAAACGTTGATATGTTTTTAAAATACTACATGCGCTACTTTGCTTGTTTTTCTACTGTTAAACAATATATTACAAACATGGTTATCATTGTTTATGCTCAACCTCTTACTTTTGTGTGGATTTCATGCCTCTTGTTCGAGTGCATGTCGTTTGGGTGCATCAACGCTTTCAAGTCTCATGGGATCTCTGCCTTCTGGTCATGTGATAGAATTGGAAAATTAAATGAGACTTACCTATAAGTTGAAGTTTGATTGAGATTCTATCACATGACATCGTAAGGCGAGAGATCACATGCCCTCCACTATCACACCCACCCCTCTCTTGGGCAATTTGGTCGCCGGTCTCTTCCTACTTCTGGCTTTTTCGGCCTACATACTATTTCAGATGCACCCTGTACGTGGCTTTTAATTATGACTTGCGCAAGCGCCGTGTCTCATGTGATCTCTCGCCTTCTGATGTCATGTGATAGAATCTCAATCAAACTTCAACTTACAGGCAAGTCTCGTTTAATTTTCCAATTAAGTTTCAAAACCAAAAAAACCTCTTTAACAATCTAAAAAACTTTAATTCTGAGGTGTTCTTTCATCTTAACAGTTGTTATTTCATTTGTTCAAAATGTCATCTGATTACTTGTATGTTTGTTATCGACGTTTCTGAATCGCTGTCCGACCCCGTTCGTTCCCCAAATATTGACATATGTAACGTGTTCTTGTCGTATAGGTTGTTCAACACATATATCGGATTACGTGGTCAGTTAAATAGTTATAGGCTTACAATATGTTTTTTAGGATGTCTCGTTGAAATTTCACTTGGAACTTATCTATAGAAGGTAAACGGGTTTCAATGCAATGACCAAATAGAAGATCTTTCATGGTAACTATTATGAATTTCAGATCGTTCGCTGTTCAAATATTAATCTAAGCCATTGAAAACCCGAAGTAGCTTTAATAATAACTGTCATATTATTTGAAGCATTATAAAAACGTGTTACTCTACATAATGGTATTGGAATTACTGTAAGACCAAGAAAGCGAGGGAAGCTACCAGTTTTTGATGGAAACCCGCGATCTTCTACAAGGTAAGACATGCTCATAACGTTTCATTACATTCTCACCGTATTTTTACAAAGTATAGCTCGACATTTTCACCATTTCCTTTACGGTCTGTTGTAAGCAATTCGATAATGAACAAGAATGTATTTATTATTCCAGACAAGTTGGTTCATCATATCTTCATGAGAACACGCTTCCTTTCCTGTGAGAGTGGACCTTGCATCCAAGCGTCTTTGTAAAACCACAGCATAGATATGGGCAAATTATGACAATTAAAATGGCACCGCAAAATGAACTTTCCTCCTACTTTTTCCAAATAATTACTCAAGAAAATTATCCAAGGAAAAGCATAATCTTTGATGTGCCTCTTCAAACACATGTTTCTTTGTGGGACAAAGAACAGGGGATATACGATACCAGGAAAAGCGATGCCTTCAGCATGTCTTTTCTGTGATGGTTTACTGCTGGCTTAATGGTTCTATGCCTCGAACAGGCTGATATTTATTTTTTGTCACAAAATCCAAGTGCGTTACATAGCGCTGACTAATCTCGCCCGGTGTCGATAGGCGCGCGCATTTTAGGTATGGTTTACAAATATCGGAGATGCAAAATGAAGACTGCGGATAACTGTTGAACTGATATCGTCTTCTCGGGGCTCAGTGTCTCTGATTTAAATTTTCTGAGTGGAGGGTTTTTCTTCAGATCGGCTACTGAGAAAAAAACTATTCGCTGTACTATATCTGGTAGATGCAGAACCTCGAACAGAAAAAAACTCTCCCCATGCCTTAAGGTTTGTTTTGTTTTGTTTATTCATCCTTGAGTGTGGGTGTTGACGATTTTTTTTCCTGAAATATAGACAACGATGTGTGCCTCAGAAAAGATTAGTTGTGAAAAAAGTGTATAGCATTTCTGTTACTTCCGCACTAGCTTTTTTGCATGTCAGAGTTAACTTTTTTAATCAAATAACAAGTATCATACAAGGATTCGAGTCAGCACCCTTCTGATTGGAGGAGTGATATGTGTCTTCTGGAATTAAAAATGGGTCATAATATTGATCGGTCGATTGGTATGCAGATTAGATAAAACGGGTTCCCTTTCTGTTTTCTTAGCTGATATTCTTTATCATGATGGCTCTCAACTTAAAACAGGCTAAGTACTAGAAAAAGTACAAGTTAAGATGCTTAGACTGAAATAGCTACTACACAAACTTCACAAAAATAATTTTCATAACTTCTTGCCCAAAAGTATTCACGAACTCATTGAAAAATAACGGGAACAAGTAAATAGTTTTAGGTGAAATAAGAGAGCCTTTAGTGGCAGATCTATAGTTATACAACATAACTGTACTGTACGCATAACAACACTCTATCTGATTAGTAAATTCATTTCCAAGCCTGTATTCTATTTTAGATTTGAATTACACGCACTCTAAATAAGAAGAAGGCTCGAAATTTAATGGGTTGGCATCTCAATGGTTCCTTAGACACAACTGGTATCTAGGCGTTTTCATTATTCTATGATGATGCTAAGGATGAAAAAACATTTTGCTCGCAAAAGTCTTTCAACCATTGATTTTGAATGACATCTGAAGACTAGTGCGCAAGATTCCCGACTATTATAAGCTATCCACATATTTATTAGAGCGCCTCGTACTTTACTTCAATCTACGAATAGCAGAAAATTTTCTGAGACTAAATCTCAAGCAAATTCCAAAGTTACCATTCTTTCTTTCAACAGGACACCAAATAACAAAGTCCTGTTCACGATCAAATTAACAGCAATCCAGCGGTACACAAACTAGCATAAATTTAATCACTTTTATAAAAGACTAGAACTTCAAGACCTTTGCATTTGAGTTGGCTTAAGACTTTTTCTCTGATGTTTTACTAGCGCTTCGGACTTCGCCAAAAAAGAGGGACTGCCCGTAGTCTAGACTTTTAAAGGTCTTGCTTTTTACTTCTACTGTTTGGCCTAAGAAAATAACAATCGCCTAATAAAAGGTTAATCTTGCACAGCCAAATTTATCCTAACACAAACTTCCCTGGTTTCTACTTATTCTAGTGTTCTTGCAAACAAAGCTCGAGTGTGGACTTAAGAACCAACTAAGATATCGACACAGGTATAGCTTCATACTTCTATACATTTTCAACAAGGGAAGGAGACATAAAGAATGAGTTGACCAAGCCTTTGTGTTTTATCGAAGCGGGCCCTTGGCTCTTCATTATAATTTGGAAACAAAGTTTTAAGCGTATTGTACACTCTTTTCCAAAAGCGACATTTTATTTACACTTTAATTAAAATTACAGCAAAATGTTTAAGAAAATCTTAATGCACATGGAAGATTTCCATTCGGACTGAGGCCTAGTTTATTGGAGCATCACGCTACAAGGTCTGCTAGGGCCATGAGGAGACTGTCCACTTTATTGTACATCGTAGGAGCCCTGTTGAGGACTCTACATTTCGCTTCAAATCATTAGGACCCCTTAGAGGATCCATAAACATGCTCTCCATTTAAGGACCCGTGTACATGGTCTATTTCACGAAACATTTTTAGGTCTCTTTCAGGGACTCTATCATGCTGAGGATCATTAGGACCATGTAGAGACTATACATTTCACTAAAGATCATAAGGTCCCTTTTAGGGACTCTATCTTGCTAAGGATCATTAGGACCCATGTATAGGCTATACATTTCACTAACAAATTATTAGGTCCCTTCAACTGACTCTATTTTACTATGAATCATTAGGACCCATTTTCTTTTCCTTTTTCAGACTCACCATTTTACTGTACATTATGTGATCCCTTTTAGATAATTTTACAGTGGATTTAATTTATCTAGTTTGTGCATTTTTTTCAGCCTATGAACAATTTCAGGTAGTTTGTGCATTTAGTTCCGCTAAACCGTTTTAACTGGTTTGGCATTATTCAACCCTATCGGACTATCTAACTTTTTTCTTGCCTAATCTTACAACACGACATTTCAAGGCCACTGTTACAGACTCTCAGTAACGACAGACAATTTCACAAAGCAATTTTACCGATTACAAATAATCGGTCATACTAAAAAACAAAATGTTAAAGATATCTCGTAATTAGCAAGCAAGGTCCATAATACAGAGAGGAGTTTAGACTTCCATTGAGAACCATGGATGCTGGAGAACTTGTTTAAGAGTTGGTCGTTGATCTGCTTCGGGATTCAACAACATATAAACAACGTTCTTCACCTCTGTTTAAAAAAGGAAAAGATAGATGATTATCGCTTTTGAACCAGATTTTCTCGGAAAATTCCCTGTAAAAGTCCCTGCATGATCCTTAAGGAACTTTAGGGCCGTAATCTCTCTGAACCGAAGGAAAATGATTCGGAACCTAAAGATTCTCCCCTTGGTTGATTGATTAACTGGAGCCAGCTCATTTATGTCAAGGCGAAGTAGCTTCTGAAATTATCCTCAGAGAACTAGAGTGGTGATAACCAATAATGACCCAACAACAGTTTCCTTTACACCGTGACCGATGATTGAGGGCGAAACTTTCCGACTGTTATACTAGAATTAACGAGGAGTTTTTGCGCGTTATGATACTAAACGCAGATGAACACAGTGTTTACAAATGTTCACTAAACCAAACTGTTACACACCTGATGAAAAGTGTCGAGGTATTCTGGGCTCCATACTTAGACAATGTTGTGGTTTTTCAAATGCAGAAATAACTGGTGACAATATATCGACCAAGAGGATTCCCATCGCCCACACAGTTGCCTCGCAACCGTCATATTTGCCTGTCTTCATGAATTCAGGGGGCATGTAGTGTTTCGTACCTAGAAGAAAATTATTGATAGTAAGTTTACTTACAAAAGACAAAACAAATTTCATTGAATATTTGCTTAGATTTAGCCTGTTTAACAGGCGGTTTTTTTTAATTCAGAGCTATCAGAGGAATAGGAAGTGGAAATTAAATGAATTTGTGGAGGTTCTAGCCACTACCCGTACTCCTGGCTGCACCGTATTCCTAGCTTCCATTTCCTCTCACTAACTTGCCGTCACGTGACGTGATGCAAAGTACGACTTAGCTGGAACAATATGTAATAAGGAAGCTTGCTTCGAATATTAAGGGTCATTTTCCCACAAGATCTTTTACTGAAATGGCCTTCTTTCTGAGATCTTAGATGTTTGAATGTCTGACTGCTTCCACCTCCCATAGAAAAAAATCAATTCAGGAAAAGGAAGGATTTTATTCCTGTAATGAGAAAAATGGAATGAGCATACCATCAGAAGAGGCAAGTTCCTTGATGTAGTCAGGAGGTTCAGTATTTTTAACGTAATCTTTCTTTGTTATGTTAAGTTGAGACAACTTGAAACTGATTTCTTTGATGGAATAGTTTTTACCTCTAAAGCTATCAAAAGGCTCTTCTTGTATCTCAGATGCCAACCCAAAGTCAATCAACTTCACTTCATCATTTGTCAAATCCAGCAAAATATTATCAGGCTTGATATCGCGGTGTATAACACCTTTTTCTTCGCATTTGATGTTAGCTTCCAAGATCTGAGTGAAGTACCGTCTCACTTCTTTTTCTGACAGTGGGTTTCCTGCGGAGTTACGGTCCTGTATGACGTAAAAAAAGTCTTTGCAGGATTCTGGTCGTTCCATAACAAAACAGTAATGTTCTTCTGTGAAGATGAGCTGGTAGATTTGGATGACGTTTGGGTGACGCACACAACTCATCAGATAAGCCTCAGCCGGGATTTCTCTTCCTTTCAGCTGTAACAAGGGAGGGGAGACAGGACAAGAGGGTTGATACAAGTTAAACTTACTTGGATCAAGATATATTTTGATACAGCACCACCGAAGACCAATAAACTTTCTAATCGCATCTTTCAGAGAATGCGGTGGTTTCCGTGACGGTCCGCGGCCGAGACCAATTTTTTATTCCCGATCAAGATAAATTAAATGCTTATTCTTATCAATGCAACTCGTTAGCAGGGGAAGAGAAATTCTCGCAAGAAATGAGCAGCTCTATGAAAGCAAAATTTCCGGCGAAAGAGTACGCTAACTAAATCATTGCAATCCAATATTTAAAGTGCTCAAACATTTCCAGTCAATCCCAACCTGCTTGTAACATGCACAGAATGCAAAGATGTTTTAGGTCTTAAATCAGTTCATTTCTCTGTTTCAAAATTATCTCTTAGACATGACAGTCATAGTCGCTGAAGTTATCCCCAGACACTACACAATAAGATTGTTATTGTCATTGTTATTTCTGTGATCCACGTTGTTTAGTGGCGTAAATGAAGATACTAACATAAACTCCCTTACATAAGACTAAACTTTCACCAACCTTTTTAAACTCTTGCACTGAACTTCTCTTTACAAACTTAAGCGCCACCTATGGAGAACGATTTACGTTAAGTTTTGTTTATTGTTATATTTTTGTATATTATAAGCTATTAACCTCACACATGCGCGATGTAATCTCGACCTCAACCTCCTTGAGCTCACACTCCTCCTCCCTTCTCATTCCTTCCTTACTAAAACAGCGCAGTTATGTTAGATTGCTAGTTTCAAATATTGCTTTTAAGTTAGCGAGACGAGACTTCGGTAAAACTAAGCTTTCTCGCCTAAGAACACAGGGAAATAAACCAAGTCAAACTTTGAGTTCGATCATTTGCCCTAAGATAAGAAATCTTGTTGAAACTCATTTTTTTCTCATTTCACGCTGAAAGATAACTTTATTCCTAGTTTTAAATTCAATACTCAGACAATAAGACACATACTGGTTTATCATCCGACTTGCGAGTCGCAGCAACAACTTGACCAAATGAACCAGATCCAAGGAGTTTTCCTATCTCGTATTTCGCAAGATCAGCTGAAATTGGAGCAAAAAACGAAATGAGCAATCGATTAATTGAATATCGCAAGAAGTATTTTCCAACAATTATTAAAATAACTATGAGGAAATATTGATACTGAATAACCGTCAACTTCATAAGCTTCATAAATACCATTTTCACAAATTATTGAGCACGAACTCAGCGGCTTAGACATAAGAAATAGCTGGCGTGGGCGTAAACATTATTTTCCAGTAAGGGTAGGGTAAGGAGGAGAGGTCCGTCACTAGCGCCTTACTAACATTTGAGATTAACAGAGCTGTCATATTGTGGAAAATCATCAATTTTTTCTTGACCGATGAGGTAGTTATAAAATATGGAGGAAATTGCCCGTGACTGCTTCCACCTCCCATAGGAAAAAAATCAATTCAGGAAAAGGAAGGATTTAATTCCTGTAATGGGAAAAATGGAATGAACATACCATCAGAAGAGGCCAGTTCCTTGATGTAGTCAGGAGGTTCAGTATTTTTAACTTCCTCCACATAACTGCCGTAGTTTGGCTCATAACTTGGAGACCATAATGGAGAATGACAATCTTTTAACCACTCGGGCTCATCAGGGTCCTGAGAACATAAACATGTAACCATAATGTCAGATAGAAAGCTTCGAGTACTGGAAAACTCTGGCGACAAAGAAGTCTCGTGTTGTTAAAATGTAGCGGATTAAAGAAAGTAAAATAATTATTAAGTAGATTTATGAAGTCTATTTCCTTCAGAGATCATAGACGATATTTTTTAAGGGAGGAATTAACTGAAATACTCGTTTCTAAAGCCTTTGTCTACTCCCGCGGAAAAGTGTTTTCCAACAAACGAACGAGGACTCTGCAAATGAGATTAATCTCGATCAGGCTCTTCCCAATCCTCTCTCCTGAGGTCATGCACTATTGTTGTAATTCCTAATTCTTCGTTGATCCTCGTTCAGGGGAGAGGTGCTGAGCGAAAGACCACAAAACTACTGCTTTTTGATGAGTTGAGCGAGTCAAGTTTTGAAATCATTTACACTCAAAGCATCTAAAAAACTGACTCAATTACAAGAGTACAAGCATTTTTATCGTAGCTTTAGGCGCACAAGTATAAACCAGATATTAAAAAAGTATGTTGTTCTACTGTCAGATTAAATTTGGAGGTGGATCAGGGTACTGGGTTTAAGCTTAATCATCAATCTTTTATCTTGGTTTTTTTTTTACCTCATAAGCCTCATAATCGGGCAATTCTTCACTGATATTATTTTCTTGTGGTGAGTTACCCTGACGCCTGGCTTCCGCACAACTCGACCTTTTTCTGTTAAGTTAAAAAAACAAAACAACAGTGTTAGTTTTCCTTTCATTAGATGCAATTTTCAAAGTTTTTTTTGTTACTTACCTTGATAATTTGTAACTGCTACAATGTCCATCTTGTTTCTCGAGAGATTCCTGTAAGAATATATGGAAGGGCAAATACACTTTCTCAGTTGGTGTGAAACTGATGCTTGATATTCACCTCCTGCTTTCTAATTATACAGCAACTTTCTCCTTGTCAGAAGTCAGTATTGGATTACTATATTGTATTTTGCTCTTTATACGCGAGTACGATAAACAGTACAATGTTTATTTCACCAATTGGAAATTTTGATAAGCTTATGCAAACGAAAGTTTGAACACTCAATCACTTAAACATTTACTTACCCTGCTCTCGTTTTCGGTTCGTTTTCTTGCCGCAAGGGGATCACATTTTGCTTTCCGCTTTCTAGAGGGTCGTTCCGATTTAATTGCAGTCCGATTAACATTCTCATGTTTTTCTTCAGATGAATTCGCTTTCTTAGGAAAGTTTTCTGAAGAAACCCCGCAGTCATTACTCTCTTGCAAGGAACTGGTCTGAGGAATGATGCCTACACAATTGGAGTTTTCCCTTAGAAGATAAAAGAAATATTATTCTCATAAAACTATGCAAATAATGCGGAGCAGCTTCATGATTTTGAAAGTTTCTCCATTTGCTCTCTGAGGAAAGTACGCTGTTTTCCGTTTCTATGAGAATCGTTTTCCAATAGAGAAAACATGCTTTGCAGTCAAACCAAAATACGTAACTCGGGAAAAAAGGTTTGCTTCACTAAATTTTTATTAAATGTTATCTCAACTTGTATACTAGAACACGAAACCAGTCTCTGAAAACAGCAGGGAGACAGACATCAATGCTTTAGAGAACACGAAAGGATGCATGCAAATAATGCGGAGCTGCTTCATGATTTTGAAAGTTTCTCCATTTGCTCTCTGAGGAAAGTACTCAAAGTCACGGAGAAATGAAAGCTACGTTAGCATAATGAACATAAGGCAACTACATTGATACGAATCCGTCATTACCCAAAGGCGAAAGAACTTCCACGCAGTAACAAAACCACACATGAGTTTCCATAACTACGCTAATTACGCGTGTTTTGACCAATCACAAACTAAAAAATTCATTTAATACTCACGTAGAACTCCATGTAATATTTACAATAGCCCATAAACTGGATTAAGGGACTTCAAAAACGTTAACTTAACCAATGGCTAGACTGTATTCTCGATTGCTTAAAATTCATATTTTTTAAAATTTTCATGCTGGTTTAAAATGCACGTTTGAATTTCTCCAGATTAAAGTGCTGACTGACGGAATAGCAAAAAAACCGAGAACGGAAAACCGTGCGATTCGAGAGAGCCGTTCAATATTTGGTTCAAGGTCACGTGACACACGCTTGTCCTGATGGCATCTTCAACTAGCTTACACACACATTCCATGGTCAAACAAAAGCAAAGCAATGTCAACTTGGAGGCAACTACTCGCTTTCCCTATCAACGGCATAAAAATAACTTGTAACTGCCCTTAATGAAATTTTCTAATATCAAATTCAACGGTTGACAATTTTTCATTTACCTCGGTAGTTCCGGACTGCAGAAGAATCGTTGAGTCTTGATAAAATTCTATAAAAAACAAATTCAAAACCAAAAATTAATTGTTTTTCAGTTATCACCATCGCTAAAATTGAAAGATTACTGGAAATAAAATTCAAGGATGAAATCAACTTCACAAGTTACGATACGACGCGTGACTTCATGAAATTAAATGTATCTAGTTTGGTCCACCACGCTAATAATATGATATTTTCTAATTGCTAATCATGTCAGTTCATTTCGATTAGAAAGTCCTGCTTGGTTAAGAACCCTATTAATTGTTTTAACTTACCTCGATCTCCCTCTCTGGCTGTTTTCTTTTACCCTC